GAAACCTAGACCCTTCGGTTGAATCATATCATGACAAGGGAAGACGCTGCCTGGCTACGGGTGGAGAGATTTGTTTTCGGTACGGGGAAACCAGGCGAGCCGGCTGACTCTTCTTTTTTCTTTTTTTTTTTGCGTAGTCAGCAGGCAACTCGCTATGATCGTTATTACTGAACTGGTTTGGGTAGCGCTACGCTCGAGATACTTTGTGGCCTGAGGCAGCGATGACGGAGATGCATGGACACATGTACGAGTACGAGCACTCCAAACGTAGCTTGTACCGTGTACGGAGGGAGGTATCATGGTATCATACGACTATGTACGAGTACAGCTACCAGTATGTACGAGTACAGCTACGAGTAGCTCAAAAAGTGGTTGGCTCCCAGTGTTTAGATGGACAGCCAAAACGGTTCACATCTGACCGCTTTTGTTGTGGGCGGCTACTCGTACATGAGAAACCGTGACAAGAACCTGGGATCAGCAACTGGAACCCTGATGACGAGCATCTCATCGATCTTTTTCTTATCTCTTCTTTTCTTTTTCTTTCCTTCTTTCCCCCCAAGATTATTCATATATTATGGGTACGAATAGTGGGTGGGAGAAGATGACTCTGGCTACCAAATACGGGAGTATCTGCATTCAGCAATTCCGTCAACACCGTGTAATACTCCATATCAAACGGCGAAAGGAAGAGGGAGATGCAGTTTGCTGTTGATTCTCTATAGGTTCTATATGGACAGGCCTCTCCATATCGAGCTGTAGAACTTTGAAAGGGAAAAGAAAAATAAGATGGGAACCGCCATAGTAGTCATCGTAAGAAAACAAAAAGCTAAGGAAAAAAAGTGAAAGGAATAAAGAAAAAAGGAAAAAAGGAAAAGGGAGAGAAGAGAAGAGGGGACTGTGCTGTCCAGCTTAGGCATCAGTGTCGATGGCTTTGCCCTTGACCTCGACCTGCTGCTCGTGTTCTTCCCTCTCATGCTCCTCTGCCGCCGCCTCCCGTCCATTCACGAAGGACAGGTAGCTGTTCCACCCGATGGAGACGACGTTGGCAAACAGCACGCGGTGCTGCAGAGGGAGGAAGGCGAAGTTGATGGTCTGCACGGCCGGCCAGACGAGCCAGTTTGTCTTGAGGGCCGACCACCAGGTCGACTCCAGCTTCTTCTGCGGGCTGTTCCCCTCCATGACGGCCATGCTGCTCAGGAAGACGCCAATCATGGTGGGCGCGAAGACGGACTGGTCCACCACGACGCGGGCGGCCGTCTCGAGATGTCTGCTGCGGGGGACGACGATTCGTCTAGCCAGGAAGCCGAACCATGTTGTTGCGATGGGGCCAAAGACGACTTTTTTTATGAGAAAAATATTAGAAAAAAATTGAAAAAGAAAAATTCGTTTCATGCCAAGTCCTTGTCTTCTTTCCATCCCTCCTCCTTCTTCTTCCCCATGCGGGTGCGTGTGTGTGTGTGTGTGTAGAAGGGAGGGAAGAGTCAGGTTAAGGACTTACCACCACCGTACAAGGCCATCCGTCCCGTCCGCGTAAAGTCATGCTTGGCAAGTCCTCGTCTATCGACGACCTGCTGGGCTGTAACGTCTCCAGTAGCGAACAGAGCCGATGTGGTCACGGCCTGAGTGAGGAGTGGACTCGAGGCCAACTTGGCATTATACCTTTTTCAGGGGGGGTGTTTCGTTCATGTCAGTTTCATCATCATCAATAGACAATCAATCGGCCCCGAGGCCTTGGGGACAATAAGAACTTACCATCGAAAGAAGCTCATTATTCCTGTATATGCGTTTTGGGGTCTGTCGGTGTCCAAGCGTAGGAAGGCTTGATCCGACGTTGTTTACTCTGGTGTCCTCTGGTTGACGTCGGAATATTAAAAAAAAAATCGAAGAGGGAGGGGGGGGGGGGGGGGGGGGGTGTGTTCAAATGTGTTGTGTGTGGAGAAGAGAGAGATGGATTGGGGGCGTTGGAGAATGGATGGAGAGGGAGAGAGAGAGAGAGATGGATATGGATGGGAAAAGGTTGGGCTTAGATGAGAGGAAGAAATCCCGTCTACGAGTATACGAGTATCACTACGTTACTACGGGGAACGGATACAGGCAGCGAGTGGTGAGACAAAAAGTACGGGATGAGACGAGAATGGGAACTCCGGGGAGCTGACCTTCTTTTCTTAATTTTTTTTAATATATTTTTATTTTTATTTTTTAATTATTATTCGTTTTTACGGGAGTGGCGGAGGGAGTGAGAACAGGGTTTTCGATAAGCGAGCCTCATCGTCATTCTTACTACTATCTTGCTCATGTGCGCACAATCAGCCTCATCATCTCGTATTTCTCTTATTTCCTTCCATCTCCTCCTCTTCCTTTCCCCTCTCCCGTTCCCCTCCTCCCTTCAGCACCTATCGTGATACCTAGGTGACGTACTGAGACGATATCACGATGCTGCGTCGACATGCGCCTGCGAAGCTCAAGGCTCAATGTTTCAGTAGAGCGTAGGGTTCCTCATCTCCAGATATTCGAGATGCCACGCATACTTGCAATACAGCTGTGTCATATCTCATTTGCGAGGGCTCAAGAGTCGAACCAGTAGTCCGTGCTGTGATACTCGTACGAGTACGTATATAATCATATTGGTGTGATGCGCGGCACCTATGCCAATTTATAGACCCCAGAGGAAAACCGAGATTGGAAGATACCAAGGAAAATGTGAGAATATGCCCAAATGTATGCCCGAATGCCAAGATGCGATCAAGATGCCCAACCTTTCCTTCTCCGTCCATCATAAAACAGAACCCGTATGCTAATCATCATCATAATAAGACAAAGGAGAGGAAGGAGACAGACAAGGAGGGAGACAACAGAAGAGAAGGGAAGGGAGAGAGAAGACGGTGAATCCCCTTAACTGAACACCTCCGAATCGACGCTGGAACGCCTCGAAAGCATACCGTCGACCTTGTGTCTCATCCACTTAGCCGTATGGGGGATCTAGAGTTACTCAGAGTCACTCACTTTTTCACGTCCAACGGGATATTCAAGGGAGCATCCGAGAGATGAAGAGCCAAGAATGGATAGGGATGAGGGAGGAGGGAAGAAGGAGAAGAGCAGAGTCGGAAGGGAAGGGGGGTGGCGGGAGGGGGGATCGGGAAAGCTCACCTTCCACTGTATACTGCTGATACGACGATGCTTCCCACTCCTACTCGACTTGGTCGCCGACAGAGGCTCGATAGGCTCGATACTATTCTTCCCCAGACTGTTGCTTCGGCCCGGCGACGACATGGGTTCGCTGAGAATAGTCCTCGAGCTACTGCCCAACAAGGCTTCGTGACCGCTCTGCTGCTGCTGCTGCTGCTGCTGCTGCTGCGGTTGCTGCTGCGGTTGCTGCTGCGGTTGCCCCCCAATGGCGGCGCCTCCGCCGCTGCCGTTGCCGCTGCCGTGCCTGGTAGTCCCGTCGAGACTCTCGAAGTCAACATTATGGTAGACGGCGGCGTCTACGGACCCGCTGGGACTGTGTCTGCCGCCGCCCGAGTTCGACGTCGATGCCGCCGTCCGGTTTGCTGTAATCACCTCGACTACGTCGCGGAGAGTCTGGTTCTGACTGGCCCATTTGGAGTGAGCGGCGCCCTGCATCGCACGTCTGTCAGTCAATCTTCTCCTTCCCTTTCCTCCTCTATCCCGCGCCCCTCGCTCTTCCTCCTCGCCTTTTCCTTGACAGGAACGATGAGGATAGAGAGAGGGAAAAGGAGGGGGAGGTGAAAAAAAAAAAAAAAAGACATACCAGTCCTGCCCAGAATGCAAGTCTCAGCTTGATGGTACCGATCCTATCACCTGGCTCATCCATGACATTCATAGTCGCACGTTTCAAGTCGCCCCTCCAGACGGGTAGTTCAATCTCCCTCTCCTCATCGTCGGCCAGGTCCTTCAGCCAGAGGATGCAGAAGGTCTTCGTCGACGACGACGAGGGGGTCCTGACCACGCCGCTGCCCCCGCCGCCGAACCAGCCTTGGTTCTGGAACAGGATGGACAGGCAGCTGGCGTAGCGCTCGGCCACGGGTAGCTTGAGGGACTGGCCGCCCCGCACAACCCAGGCCCGCTGGTGGCTCCCGGACTCGAGGTGCATCTTCCCTGTGCCGATGGGGGTCCTGAACAGGAGCTCGCTCGAGTTGAGCTGGCTGTTGTCGGAGCCGCCCCTGGCGTTGGACCAGGTCACCGTGGGGTGGACCTCTACGGTGCCGTAGTCCCATCCTATCAGGTTGCGGGGGGCCTGGAGGGCGACGCTGCGCCATAGCATCGACAGCCTCACCTTGCCGTGGCCGGAGCCGCCCGTGAGGGGCCACACGCTCGTGACCTGGGACCGCTCCTTGAAGACCTGGTACAGGGGCAGGTGGACGGTGCCGAGGAGGGTGTCGCCGCCGGCCTGGCCGGGCCGGGAGTCGCGCACGGACACGTAGACCTCGCACTCGCGCCAGTCGCCCACGAAGCGCTCGCAGCCGGCGTTGTAGAATGGCTTGGCGTTGTGCGGCTTGGTGCGCGTCCTGTATACCTTGCGGTGGTTGACCAGCACCGTGCAGTACGCGCTGGGGAGGTGGTCCGCCCCGGGCTCGTCCTCCTCGCCGGGCTCCTCAGCCCGGTTGCCGGGCACGTGCTTGCCGGCCTTCTCCAGCTCCAGGCCCGTGATGTTGTGGATCTGCAGGCTGAAGATGCCGCTGGGGTGGTTGTCCGGCGGCGGCGCCGCCATCATCATGGCGTCCTCGGTGGCCTTGAGCTCCTGCGCCCTGAGCTGCTGGAGCTCCGACTGCACGCGCTCGTCATTGCCCGCCTTGGCCGTGAGCTGCCGCAGCTTCCGCGCGCAGAGCTCGTCGACCTTGGCCTCGAGCTGCTCGGGCGTCCGGATCTCGGCATCGTACGTCTGGTGCTCGTACTGGCTCGTCTGGAGGCCGGCCTTGGAGAAGTAGCCGACGCTCCACTCGAGCATTCCGAGGACAGAGCGCCCGCCGGACTTCAGGCTCTGGAAGCGGTCCAGGCGGCACGACATGCGTCCGCTGGAGTCGTCGCTGCGCATCAGGGTCCGGAGGTCGACTTCGATGCGGCCCAGGTCGTCGTCATCACCGAGGCGGTCCCGATCCCATAGCTGCACGCGCACGCGCTCGCCGATGTCAAGCTCCGCCGCCGTCACGGGGAGGAAGCAGGTCTCATCCCAACACGGCTCCACCTCGGAGGTCATGACCCGGGTACTCCACACGGCCTTGCCCAGCTTGGCCCAGCCGACCGAGACGTACGGGTCCAGTGAGCCTTCCTTGAAGAACGGGGTGCCGGGGTCGGCCGCCCTGAAGCCGTAGGCACGCTTGACGTTGATCCTGACAATTCCGGCGGCCGCGGTGTCCTTCTTGAAGTCCTCGCCGGCCAGCATGTCCTTGAGGTTCACCATCATACTCCGCGGGGCGACGAACTGAGAGATGGCGGCGTCGACGGACGACTGGACAAAGTTATTGACGAAGGGGATATCCATGAGGTTCAGCCCGTTCTGCACCAGGGGCGTGCACTTGATATCCACCTTGGGCTGGCCGAGAAGGGTGAGGGTTGTGCGTTCGAAGAAGGGGGGGTCGGGCCCCAGCTGGAGCCGTACACGCATAGAGCCGACGATGCCGTTCAGGTCGACCCATACGGGTACCTTGATGTTGCCGGGGAGGTAGAAGGCCAGGGAGAGGTGCATGCCTCGGGAGTTTGTCTTGCCTGCCAACGCAGTCCTCGGGCGCGTCGACCGGTAGGCAAAGGCGATCTCGAGGTTGATGAAGTCACCCTCCTCAGCCTCCATGCCTTGGGCGATGGCTTCCTGCCCGGCCTGCACCGGGCCCTTGTCGTCCAGAGCCAGAGATCCATCCGGGGCGACCGCTGTTGCCGCGGCACCAGCGGGGAGCCAGCGAATGCCGAGGATCCGGACAGGCTCGGTTCCCTGACTGATGTCGTCGACGCTGACCATGCGGATGAAGGACGGGAGCGAAGCCTGCATGACGTCCTCGAGGGTGTCGCTGACGCTGGCAAACAGGTCGGGGTTGATGACAGGCCACACGGACCCGACGAGCGAGTTGAGCCAGACGGTCGTCTCCTCTCGGTGCTCCGATGCGTCATCCTCTTGCTTCCTGCGATGCACGTCCCAGACTGCGTTGTCAAATATCGACCTGACCTTGTTGGAGACCCAGTTCTTGACCCCGGAGACCAGGATGCACGCACCGGCGCCCACCATCATCAAGGCCGTGGTGGTGACCCTCGGGAAGGCAAAGGGCGGCATGATGCCCTGCTGAGGCCTTCTCCACAGCTGGCCCATGAACAACGAGCCGGCAAGGATACCTACGGCGCCCACCAGGCCCATCGAGACTCCCCTGCATGTGACGGCAGCGAGCTCACTGCGCACGGCGGCGAACTCTGGCGGAGGGAAGCGGCTCGAGAGCTGCCCGCGGCCACGGCGTAACATCTGCGCATCGCGGCATGACCGGTCCTCGCCAGACGATGTGCCGGCAGAGAAAGGCCGGGGGATAGCACCGTCAACGTCCACCTCCTCCAGGGACTCGCTGGAGAAGTCGTGGATGGTGACGGGGAGATGGGTGACGGGGTCTGTGACGACGCGCTCGGCCCTCTCCCAACCCTTGCTGCTGTTTTTCATGCGTTGCCGAGGGCCCAGGGACGCAGCGTCAGATTCGGAAGTGTCGAGTAATGCCGGCTGCTTCTGCTTCTGCTTCTGCTTCCCCTTGTCCCGGTCCCGGTAGACGATGACATGATCCCCCACCGGTTCGTCGCGGCCGTTGCTGCGCGACGACTCCCGGAGGCGAGCAGCCTGCTCCTCGCGATACCTGGAAATGGTGGGGACTGGACGGTCTGCGTCGTATGGCCGACCAGAGCGATGGTCGGTGCTACCATCAGCGCCAGGCATGGCAATAGGGTAACACGAAAAACATGTGGAAAAAAAATTAGTCTGATATGGAGGGAGGGA